CCGCATTTCCTAAGCACTTAAAGGTCTTAACCTCTTCAATTATGAGATTTTTAATTACTGCTTTACTGCCTTCTCACTTCCATTGATTTTGTTTTTTGATTTCGAAACTTCCATCTTATGTAATGAGCTAATTTCAGAGATTAAGCGAGGCTGCCTGTAGCTCCCCATAGTCACCAAAGATAACTTATCATCTCCATGTAGCAAGGCTGAGACAGTAGGATGGATGTGGTGACTGTAACCTTTCTTTCCTTCTTTCTTTCTTTCTTTCTTTCTATCATCTTATTCTTCATCAACTTCTTCTTCCTTTCATTTCAAACTGTAACTACTATATCATTTGTAATGGAATAATGTCGAAATTTACGTGAGAAGACTAAACTCTGAAGAGTGTAGACACAATTTTAGCCCTGCTATAGAATTTATCTCACCGTTTTAATTTGCAAGGATTTACATGAAATTATAGTGTTACAGTTATCCCCATGTTTGTATTAATAGTAACGACTACGAAGGTTGATTGTAGGGCGAAGCCATGTCAGGTTATTGTTTCTCGTTACAAGAAATGGTGAGCTAACAATGAATCACGATTTTCTACAAGGAATCGCAGAGGTTTTTATTGTCGTATTTGATAGAGTGCCAACCAGCGAATTTACTGCTTGCATTTTAAACTTATGAGTCACTTTGAGTTTCAGTCTGAAACACAGACAGGGCGTGCATAACGAAATTTCTCTTTGGCGTATCGAACGCGAACTTATTCCTGAAACAAATTGCGTTGCTCCAATTTCTCATAAGGGCGCCTTGTATTTGTCGAGACAGGAAGCACAAAACCATTGTTCTGCATGTAACGAATTACTTCTCAAATGGATATATTTTAACAACACTACTTCCGTCATTTTTTTTTTTTTTTTTGCTCTTCTTGATGCCTGTTTCATGGTGGTTTGTTGTTTGGTTTATTATTCAACAGTGAAGATGGAAATGATAAGTTCTTCCAAAACATCGGTTGATTTTCAGCGGACTACAACATGGCGTTATATCCCAGAAGGTATAAATGTTGATAACCATTGCTATGATAACCTCAAATCTCACGGCTTCATTTTGTCTATATTTTTCCCCTAGCACACATTTGTCGTTTGTAACGTCTATAGCTGTTATTTGCGGAATGATTGTTAGAACCGAACGTCTTCCCTTCTCTTAGCTCTGATCTCAGTCGGCTTCATGAAAAGGACGAGGGACCACGTCAGGAAAGAACAAGGAATTCGTTGGTTGTTCAGTTCTGTGGTTTTGCTACTTGATGCTGCTGAAACTTATCCTGCAGCTGTAACAGGAAGTGGCGTTACAGAACAGTTAGAAGATAAAACTCAGCTCTTCTGAACGTCCGTGTTTGATCCGTCAGTGACGTCACAAGGGCTTCAAACACATCCGATTCGCAGGTGACAATATAGGTGCAGAAGATGTTTTAGGTGTTGCAGATTCATTCAGAGCAGTGAGCAAAATTTCTGGAATATTGAAAATTGTTAATCCGGTTTAACGAATTTGTGAGTTGGAACGCAGGCATTCAGGTGCTGAGGAGAGTTGAAGCAGTGGCGAGAAACTGATGGGAGAATTATGCCGTTCCATCTGCAGAAGCCTGTTGTTAGCAAGCGCAGATGACAATTATGATTATATTCTAAAAGCTTCTGACGATGGTGGATGACATACAGAATTATTGGGTTTTTGGACTTTTCCATCGTTAGTAATTCTAGGTAATAGAGGACACGGCGTTCCGGAAACTGGATCTCTTTCCGTCTTCAGGTGAGAAAGGAAGACACCTACTCAGTTGTGCCCCTTAGAAAGAAGTGATTGAGATTAGCTCTTTCTAAGGGGTCTAACTGAGTAGGTGTCTTTCTTTCTCTCCTGAAGACGGAAAGAGATCCAATTTTTGAAACGTCGTGTCCTCTATTACCTAGAATTCCTAACGAAGGAAATTCCAAAAACCAAGTAATTCTATGCGAAAATTATGATTGTCAAGTAGGAATAGTTAGAGAACTGCATTTGTTTTGGGTCTGCTTCTCTCTTTGCATCCAACCAGATCTGTTCCATATCCCTGTAGAACCTACACATCCATCTCAAAGAACACAGTCATGAAAGTTCTCTCACCCCGTGGGAACGGAAATAGCGACGAAGTTCACCGTACCATTTACTACGACATACGCCGTAACCGGAATTCCAGTTTGCTGGATGTCACGAAGCGTCTGTTCTTTTACAGTAGTAGTTATGTTAGGGAATTTTAAAGTGTTTTCTCCTGTCACATCGACGTTGTGAAGTTAGAATTTGTTTTCGTGAAGCACTACGGGTAAATCGTCAGAAAAGCACATACGAGTGTATTGATATTTGCTCGACTGAAATCCATGGCCCTTACGAGACTAGTTGCCTCTGGGTGACTTAAGACTAAATGGGAATTTCTTTTCAGAAAGGAAATTAACCAGTCTGTTTCCTCATTTTCCTTTCATACCACTGCACACCGATATGTAAGATGTCTCAGATCTCCAGACAAAAGGCCGCTATATAGATAGCAATTCGTTTCATGTAAATCTTGGGTACTTCTTCCTATTTTGATTCGAACGCCCCATTATGTGGTCTGTAATGATTTTTCGGGTTTTCATTTTTGAGCTGCATACAGAGGTATGAATTTGCACATGGCAAATGCCATACTTTTTGGCGACGTCCTGCGACAGTAACCTGCGTAACTGGCCGCGCCATAGCCCAAGCGGTTAGTCGCTGGCTTCCCACCGCAGCGGCCCAAGTTCGAGCCCGGGTCTGGTCATGTGGGATTTGTGGTGGACAAAGTGGCGCTGGGGCAGATTTTCTCCGAGTATTTCGGTTTCCCCTGCCAATCTTCATTCCACCAATTGCTCCACAATCACCCTCACCTACTATATCATCTGTGGCTGGTACATTAGGCCAGAAGTGGCCGCAGTACCAAATGGACTTGGTCCCACCCCACTAAGGAGAAAAAAACCACCGTAACTCCGTGAGAAGTTACCGTGTCTTTACTATACGCATGTTGTCAAAGTTCGAAAGCAATCAGATGCCTTCATTAAGTCAGATGCTTCCCAAATTCAAGTGAAAATTTTGAACACGCCGAACTGTGTAATATGAAGATTTCTTTTTCGCTTAATGGGGGTGGAGACCAACTGGGTCCACTCGGCACAGCGGCCACTGATTGGCCTATTGTAGCCTGCCCCGGGTGATTATGATGACGGAGAATTTGGTGGAATGAAGATTGGTAGGGAAAACCGAAGTACTCGGAGAAAACCTGCTCCAGCTCCACTTTGTTCACCACAAATCCCACTTGACCAGACCCGGGACTGAACCCGGGCCGCCGCGGTGGGAAGCCTGCGACTAACCGCTTAAGCTATGGCGCTGCCTACGATTTCTGTGGTTAGTTGTTACAGTCGACGCCGACAACGATGTAAGAGTTGTTCCCTTGTCACCACTACTGACAAAATGCAATGCTACGCCATTTTAAAATCACGAAGTAAACCCCAATTTAAATTCCATTCATTCAAAGAGAAATAAATTGGACATCTTTTGAATGTGCGCTAGCCTAATAGAGCCTTACCTGCAGTGCAGCAATTAAAGAATTCCAAGAACAGAGACATGTTTTAACTTACAGCACATACGAGGGGGTACCCAAAAGAAACATAACTTATTTTTTTTAAACTTATTTATTCAAATTTTAAGCACAAACCTTCAATTCTCTTCAAAGTACTTTCCACTTACACTAATACACTTGTCTAGGCTTTTATTCCATTTTTCAAAATATTGTCTAAATTCATCTTTTGAGATGCTTGACAGTGCCTCCGTCATTTTTTTCCTTCACCTCAGCAACATCAGCAAAACGCTGAAAAAAATTTTGATCATTTCGGGACTTTTCTTTCAAAGCACAGCATGCTTCCACGCGACCTTGTTTTTGTTCAGCAGTCAGCAGTCGTGGCACGAATTTCGCAGCCACCCTTTTCATTCCCAAATCTTCTCTCAAAATTCACTGAACTGAGCTCCAAGTCACTCCCGACAGCTCCACAATTTCTTCAGTGGTCCGTCGTCGATCTTCCTTGATGATTTCACGAATTTTTTCAACATTTTCATGTGTTCGAGGCCATTGCAAAAACGACGATCACACAAAACAGTTGTCACTATAAACTCTGCCGAAACTAGTCCTTACCTTCTGAAGCAACGGTAGTCGGCTTATCGACTCAGAAATGTTAGCTCTATGCGCTCATAGCGGCAAAACGCGGTACTACAAAAGCTCTGTCCACAGAAAAATTAGTTCGGTTTCTTTTGGGTACCCCATCGTATAGCTTACATTTATAGGTAGATTACTTCTGTTTATTTCGCATCTTGAAGACCACTCACTCTGATGTTTCATGGCCCCTAATGCAACTTAGACAGGCGGATAATTTGAAGTGTTACATCTGATCCCAGTCTCACTAACATTGCCCTAAAATGTATAGTACTTTCATTGATTTCAATGTTATATTACTTTCTTCTTTATATATCAAGCAAAAAAAGGCAAGCCACATATTTTAATTATATGTACTTAAGGTTGTAGGGCCATGTAATATTACCACATCTGCCTCAGTATGCAAGACCTTTATTGGTGGCTGCTAATAATTTAGGATGTCTGGGATTTGAAGCTGAGTCTCAGCCTACCTTCAGCGTAGACCGATCCAAATGTGAATACAACTTTACCCCTCGAATGAAACGAGGTTTCTGATGTTCTTGCATGAGTTTACTTGTTACTATTCAGTGTATTCATCCCGTTTAACCATTTTTCACACAGCCACATTCTAAGAACTGAGGAGTGACGTGTAAACATCAGTTCCGTAATGTTGCAGACCTTTTGAACTGTAACACTGATAATGCCACCTCATTGCATCCTATGAAAAGAAAATACAGGTCAGACTTGAAGAAAATGTTTTGGCACTGTTTATTGTAGTGACTAAACCTTGTCTCTTGTGTTGCAGATATCCAGGAATTCTACGAGCTGACACTTCTGGACGACACGAAGTCCATCCAACAAAAAACTGCCGAGACGATCCGTATAGCAAACAAATGGGAGGCGAGCGACGGACCCATAACCCCCACATATGGCAACAATGACGTGAGTCACATGACCAAAGTACTCGTATATGCCGATTTTGTTAATGCCTTGTAGGATGTGAGAGTCTCACAGCGGTCGTTATGAAGACTCCAGTCTTCAGGGATGTAACGCCGTGTACTCCGTTGGTAGTCAACTTACATTTTGGAGTAAGATGTCGCCTCCATCTTCAGGGTCGAAAATAAGCGAATTTCAACCTGCTTCTTGCTTAGCTTGTTCTTCGATCCTGAAGTTAGAAGCGACATGTTCCTCCGAAACGTCTGTTTGCTTTCATCAGACTATATCCCAGAAGACAGGACTCTAAATATTAACGTGTAGGATACCTGTTATACTACGTACATTCGAACTTCTAAAAAAGTATATGGTTTAAAACGTATCTTAATGTACTCACATGTTTCTCTGACGTCTTGTTTTGACAGACTTACCGTGACGTCGGTTTCAGTGTAGAATACCTGAACTCTTGATCATTCTACCATCAGTAATGCCATACAAAATTTTGAGGTGGTAGCGAACATTGCGATACACGGTTTGCTGTAGTAGCCGGAGAGACATTCGAATGAAATGAAACTTTTATTTTGATAATTGTTTTCATAATTTAAAGTAGCAACGTGTCTACGGCCCGATATCTAAGTCTACAAATTTTGCATAGAATCTTTTTTCTGTATTTCAAGAATAACTAGCATGGAGACTGTAGGGACTCTTAGCGAACTTAGAGCTGAATTTCTCTGTCCCTGTGATCATATACTCCTCATAACTTCAATTTCACAGTTATTCTCGTTTCTCATCAGTGATTTTCTTAATCATTGTCTCTTTCCGTTGAAGCAAACTTAGGCTTAAATCATAACTACCATTATGGATTCGTACATTGGCCAGCGCACCTGTAATTTTTCGAGGTTTATAGCCTAAATCGATGTAGCTGTTTGAACGCCATCTTCTTCAGCTCTCCATTGCATGCATTAAACTCTAAATCCCAGTATTAAATTCCAGTTTCATGCCGAGTTTGCGTTTGACATTGCCTGTTGCATGTATCTCAGTTACACCTCTGCCGCTCTAATTCCGAAATAATATTTCTGCCTCATGGAAGCCACCTAAATCCCATTCGACCCGAGTTTCGGACATACCGAAACAGTAACATGAAATAAAGACAACTGATAGATATTTATGGAATTTCTATGTTTGGAAACAATGGCACAATTATCCGTTTGGTGAGTGTGCTGCCCTTTTGACTGCATAATAATCCCTGGATTTTGTGTTCTAGTGCTGTTTTGACCCCACATAATTCTGGACAGAATAATGACACGTCTAATGAATTGTAACAGTATTTAATAGAGCGTGGCAGAATCCTGATTATGTTCTATTAACGGATCGCATCCCATGGCAAAATGCAAGCCATACTTTGATTTGAGTTTGGTCCCGTGAGAATATAGTTTTAAATTAGCACCGAATTAACGTTTCAACCAAACTATTGTTTTCCTTTTGGCGTGCACTTAAAACACTGTACGTGTATACATTTGTGTACCTGACTCTTATATCTACTACTTGATATAAATATTTCGGGTGGCGACTGGCGTGGTAGTAGTTTTAGAACATTTTATATCAACGCATTTTCCTTCATGTGTTGCCATTTTTAGTATATGCGAAACTTTACCCCTTACATAAGTGAAGAACATAGGTTACAGGTATCTGGGAACACATTCCTGAGGAGAATGTATGGACGTAGGAAACAGGAAATAGCAGCAGGTTGGAGAAAATTACTTAAGAAGAACTTTATAATTTGTAGTCCTCATGGAATATTTTTAGCTGATAAAATCAGTGAAATTGTAATACAGATTAGAGAGCTGGGAAATACATACAGAATTGCTGTCGAGAGATCTGAAAGCAAGAAACTGCTTAGAGACCTAGAAGTTGATGAGGAACTAATATTAAAGTGAATCTTTTGTTTCTGTATTGTGAGGCTGTGCACACTCCTGGTCTGGTTTTGGGTGCGATCCATCTCCAAACTCATGTCGACATCACACTGAACTTTCGGGTTCAGTGAAAGGCGCGACCATTTATTAGCTAGTTAAGCGACCATCAGCTTCACAAGCAGCACTGTTCCATGAAGTTGGATTATGTATTTATCAGTGACCATATAATCCATCGTCGATCTGCAGATTAAAATAATCATTTCCCAAGTTGTAAACCGCACGCAATGGCACACATATAACTTGGAGTATAACATTGTAATAATGTACCATGATAACTGCCATAACGCCATTGATTGGACGAATGGGGTTCATTTCCCTGTAGGGATGAGGTTTTTCTGTTGATCACTATGTCCCGAGTAGGTATGGGATTCACCGAGTTTTATAGTAAATTTTTTAATTCTCATATTGGGGCGGAGTCCAGTTGGGTCCACTCGGCACGTCGGCCACTGATTGGCCTATTGTACCTGCCCCGGGTAATTATGATGATAGAGAATTTGGTGGAATTAAGATTGTCAAGGGAAACCGAAATACTCGGGAGAAAGCCTGCTGCAGCGCCACTTTGTCCACTACAAATCTCACTTGACGAGACCAAGTCTCGAACCCGGGCCGCCGTGGTGGGAAGGCAGCGACTAACCGCTTGAGCTATGGCGCGGCCTTGAGTTTCATAGTAAGTGGATATCAGCAGTTCCCTCTACAACCAATATTTTTTGCGTCGTTGCATTCTAATAATAATTTTAAAGTAGTATTCAGTAGTGCTTAAAGCCTTTTGTATGTCACCCGTGAACGAACTGCACAGACACGTAGGGCCAGTTGCTCTAGTGAAGTGATTGAACGTTTTTAAATGAAATCGATGTGTATCTCAAATGGGAGAATTCTTCACACTTCCTGGATACAGAAACGACGCGGCAGCTGAACTGAAGTGCAGATTGCTAGCTGGAGATGCTGGATCACAATATTCTCTCGTAGAAGAAGGTAATTTTCTAGAGCGAACAGGTTTTACGCCTACGGCAAAGTTGAAATTTGAGTACCTTTACGCTCCTGACATTTTAGACATCTGCGTAATGAGTTCTGCATTTAAAATAGATGTAGTCTAAATGTCTGACAAGCGTAACGTTACTTCAGCTGAAAAATGACGTATAACAAATAACTTGTAAAGCCCCGGTTTTTGGAAAGTCAAGTCTTGTTCAGCGAATCATCGGTTATTCTGCCATGATATTCGTTTGCTTGATGTAAATTCTGCAGGGTATGCGGCTTAACTTTGTTTGAAGCTTTAAAAGCCCTAGGCTCAAAATCCTTTTTACTTGCTTCTGCCTCAGTAAATATTGGCTGTCTCTTAGTATTACGCTCCTTTTCCATGTTGTTTCGCAGTGATATTGCTACTTAGCGCTGACGTAGTTGCTACTAGAATTCGCTCTTTGAGAATTTAATTTTGCCTATTTTTATAGAGACCGCGCCTCTGTGGTCTAGTGGTTAGAGTTCCTGGCTACAGATCCGGAGGTCCCGGGTTCGATACCCAACACTACCAGATTTTCTGAGAAGTAGTTGGTCTGGAATGGGGCTCACTCAGCCTCGTGAGGATAATTGAGGAGCTCTTTCAATGAAATAGCGGCTCCGGTCTAGAAAACCGAGATAAACGGCCGTGGGGATCCGTTGCACTGACCACGTGATGCCCTCTATCCGCTAAAGTTGGCACTAACTTCGCCGACAAGCGGTGGTCGCTCGGTCGGTATAGTTCGCTTGCGGGATTACAGACCACGGGACTTTTTTTTTTTTGTTTCACTAATTTTATAGAAGAAAAAGGGAAGGAGCACGAAGCGATTCTTATTTTTAATATTGTTTGTTTATTCTTACGGGTATTTTTGTTTAATAAAACTAATTAATTCTGACCATACTAATGTTGTTTATAATCGTGTTCCAATGTGGACAAAATATACCTTCCGAGTTCGTAAAGATTCAGATACAGAAAAACCGAGCAGCCATCTGACGAGCTGGCATCAGAATCCGAAATTTCAGCCTCTTTATGACAAAAGTCTGAAACTGCCAACTTTATTAGGCCTCACGGTCCCTGCCTCTTTCCGTAACATTCGTTTTGCATTTCCTTCATTACAGACCTGCCACATGTAACTCAAGGGACTTCACAGAACTGCGTGAATGCAGTGCTAAAAGCCTGCTCTTTGATATAAAAGATTAAAATTTATGAACCTTCTGGCATCGCTGGGCTTGCCAAACCGCATGTTGCCAAACACCTGCAGCAACATAGCTAAGGTGGCGATGATAATGATAATTTCTGTTGCTGTCCTAAATGAGTTTTAAGAATTGCGCAGCAATGTTTTTCTAGCTTCAAACTATCCATCCTCATTGAGTGTGTGACGGTATGTTAATGGATTTTGACCAGATTTCATAATTTTACTTTACGCAGATAACGGTTTTGGATATACATTTTAACATTATATCTGAGAATTGTTTAGGTGTAGTATACTTATGGACAGCCAGTCACGGTAGCCGAGCGGTCTAAGGCATGTACTGTCTTCGCTCGCTTGGAAACCGGGATCGTGGGTTCGAATCCCACTCAGGGCATGGATGTTTAGTTTGTGTGTGTGCGTTTTTCTCTGGTTGTATACAGGTAGAGGCCTTGCGACGAGCTGATCACCCGCCCAAGTAGTCATACCGAATGTGTAAGATCTAGAAAAACTGAAGTGAACGGAGAAGTTCATGGAGGTAGGCCTAGGCCCACTGGGGCTGTAGTGCCAAGGAAATAAAATACTTTATGTAGGGTCACTGTCTATATGACTTTTCAGATAATGGCCTAAAATGAAAGAAGTTCCATTTCGGGATATCCGGAATTCAGCAATTACTCATGATGTAATTTTTCTTTCGCAGGCACTACACAAATGTTGGAGAAATGTTCATGTTTAATTCTGAAACCATTGGTTTTGCTTCGGGTTGATCGTTTGAAGTCTGTGATAAAATTTTGTTACATTTTCAATAAGTGCTCGCAGTATTAAGTAGCTGTTTCTTTTAATCTCTCAATTCTCA